ATTTTTATTATTTATTTATAATTATTTAATCATATTCTAGTTAATATAGACTAAGTCCAGGGCTTGCGCCGGTGTGGTTGAAGACAGGGAGACCTGGCGCGACACAGAGCGATCTGGCGTGACGAGTCGCGCCAGGTCTCTCTGTTCGCATGGCCTGGCCCCCACATAGGTGCGAGTCTTCGACTTGGTCTATAATATATAATATATTATTCTTAGTACTTTTTTATATATGTATATTTATATTTTCATGTAACTATTTATATTAAGTCTTTTGAGGGCCACAAGTTTGTAAGCTTTTGCTTTTGGGTGTTACCCTCTTTAAATAAAGTATATTATTATTATTATAAGTGTTGCCCAAGTTATTTCATCTCTAAATGGTCTTATGGTACAGATATCTAAGTGGTGCTCTTTAAATAAATTGACAATCCACCCTTCCAAAACTGAAGCTATGATATTGAAAAAGCAACAGTTTATTGGTCCTTTGCAGCCTTTACACTTTGGCCCTGGCTTTGTGAAGTTTGTCAATTTCACAACCTGTCTTGGTGTTACAATTGATAGCAGACTCTCTTGGCATGCACAAGTGGATGTAGTTAGAACTTCTTTTTCCAAAAAAGTTGGTGCTCTAAGAAAAATGTCACATTTACCTAAGTTAGCCCTAGAAGAAATATATTTTAAAATAATTATACCTAGTGCTACTTATGGAATATCGGTGTGGGGAAATTGCTCCCCATCACTACTTAATAGTTTATATCATATACATGCTCGAGCATGTCGTATAATTAATCATCTTCCTTCTTCATTAGAAAGTACTTTATGCTTGTCTCAATGTAACTGGCTTCCTATAAATTATTTATATAAGAGACGTATATTACTTAAGATGCATCAAGTTTTCACAGGGGCTGCCCCTAGCCAAATTTTGGATTTCTTTTCTAAATCATCTAGATCAACAAGATTCAGTAATCAATTAAATATCATTCGGGTAAAGTCTGAATTAGGCAGGAGTTCTTTACAATATAGGGGTCCAAATATCTAGAATTTTATAAACAAGAAAGTCAAACTTACTAATACTATCAGTAAAGATGGGTTTCAAGCAATCTTAAGAAAGCATTCTAAAGATATTCTCCAATTTTCATTTAACAAAGAAGCTATTGTTGTTTCAAATAAGAAGGATGATTTTATTTTTTATTAAGCCTATTATTAAGTTTATTTTAGTATTTTATTTATTTATTATTTATTTAATTTACATATAATGTGTACACCTGCTTGTGGGGGCTCTGTCATGGGGGGATGGTGGCCTGGATTGCTTGTGTCCCCTTTCTTCCTGTGGTGGCATTCTTCCAAGTAGGTGTATGTTCAGATTTTAATTATGATTAATTTAATCTTACACCAGTCCTTTACATTTTAAATTCTTTAGATTATAGTAGTGGTTATTATATTTCATCATATTGTTATATATATATATATAGCAGGTCCACATCAGCCGTTGGCTGTCGATGCAATATTTGTTTTAAAATTTTGTAAACCTAACCTGCTTTAACAAATAAAGGATTGATTGATTGATAGCATCGCCTATTAACATTTCTTCTATAACAAGCTTGTTTTTCAAAGTCTCTAGCAATCCAGACTTTACGACAATCTGTTTGTCAGAGATTTATCCCTCATAGAGTTGGGATACAAATAAAAAGGCCACCCTTTGGATCTACACCAATCAAACATTGTATGTGACTTAGAAGTACTGTAGCTTTCACTGTGCTTTTGTAATGAGCTAGGGACTTGAACCTTAAGTTCTGTGGCATCAACAGTTAGAATGTTATTAGGGTAATTTTCACGGAATTCATCAGGAAAATTTGCTAAAATTACATTTCTGTGGGGCCATATCTTGAGACTACCAATAACAACGTATATGAAATTGAACCATGTCATTAGAATATTATTGAACCTACTTTCAGAAACAGAAAATCTCTCTGAAAGATCTATATTCGAAAGTCCCATTCTTATTTTCATCATTGTTAGTAAAAATTCATCTTGACCTGGAAGCATGTGTGACGAGGGTCTTGTCATGCTCACTCTAGGGTCAGTTTCAACATCAACATTATCAGTCTCACTATCACTTTCCTCGGGATTCTCCCGCTCCGCAGAATACCCTTCTTCAAAAATGTTTTTCTGTATCAATGACTGTGGATTTCCCAGCAGCACTATCCAAGTAAGAAAGCTGTTTTCGATTTACCTCTGGTAGTAAAAACGTAAGAGTTTCAATGAATTCAGTATGTGAATTAAATCCAGTATAATGACTAAATAGTTTCAGCTCTTTAGAAGACGTAGTACATTTAGAGAGTAAATGACCAACAGAAAATCGGTGTGCACAAGGTATTCTCAAGTTTCTTTCCATCTCGAAAGAGTAGTTATCACATTCGTCTTCAAAAATTTGAGTTTTTCTTGAAATCAACACACGTCCAGATGCTTCTAACTTGTCACCTTCGCTTTCTGAAGCGCTATCAGTTGCTTCTTCGTTGAGTAATCGGGAAACTTCAAGCTTTTTAGCGCCTAAACTTTCTCGTTTTTTCGGTTTCAAGTCTTTTTCTTTTGTCCAGTTTAAAATTGATGGGACTGCATAACTTTTTACCCTTTTCTTCTTTGCTTCGGGATTTATATAATCTTCCGATCTGAAGTGAGCGCTGCATATCTCCATGTGCGTGTTTTTGTTGAAATAATCGGGATGACGCCTGATTTTTGCAATCCACAGTTTCAGCAATGGCTTGTTATTGATCGGTAGACTATGAAAAGAAAGACCTTTTCTATTTTCAGACGAATTTTGGCATTCTCCTGCGCAACAAAAGTGAGGCATATCGCTTGACGTCGAAGCGAGCGGTACACGTGTGATTGTTTGTTTTGATTTCGTATCCAAATCAAGTCATGCGTTAGCCGATTAGGTCTATTAGCCTGTGCTTTAAAATAAGGAACAAACTAAATGTACAATGTAATACTGATTATATATATATGTATTTATCACAAGAATTATTCAAAATGTACATTGTAATTTTATTTATATATATTACGGCACTAAATAAACATATTGTATCGCATTGTATTGTATTGTATTGTCAAAGGGTTTATTTGCACTTTAACTATGAAAACAAAAATAAGATACCATAACTTATCTGGGGGACTTATCTATTTCCAACACCATTGAGGGGAGCTTATTAAAGGGGGGGAAGGTGGGGGAAGGTGGGGGGAGGGGGGTTAAGGATTTTCGGTTCCAAACATAATCATTATCCGGGTCTAAAAAGCAGTCTTCGTGTGTGAGCTTGAATTTGTAAGTGCCTTACCGTGTACTGAAAGATTCGACAACATCTGCGCCGCGTCTGCATGGTGCCGTGCCCTTACAGTGAAATACGTAAATCTTCTGTGCCAAAAAAAACAAAAACAAAAAAAGAACAAAGAATTTTCTTCAGCGCTAATGTTTTCGAATTTTTCAGTACACGGTAATATTTTAAACACTTTTTAAATACTGTATCTATGAACCAGTTCGATTTTATTAAGCCTTAATAGACGTCACACAATAGACGTCCTTAGCATATTGGAAGTGTAAACCTTCGCAACTTAGAAACGCATCACTCGAATCAAGAAATATTTTACCATTCAACTAATTACTTCATGTAGAATCAGTACTGAAAGTATTGTCGAAGGGTTCATTTGCATTTTAAAGTAGTTGTCAAGTTGCCTGACACTGCAACGCAAATAGAGATTTCAACGGGAGATTTCGTGGAAGATAAAAGCTCGATTCCAGCTCAAGAAGAAACTAAAGAGTATGGGGGCGAAATAAATAGAGGACGCAAAGAAGAATTCATGCCCATCAATTGCCCATACAATTGAAAATTGTCAGATGCGGAAAMGTACACTTGTAATATAAATGGTCGTTTAAAAAACGGAGTTTCCAAAATACGCCGTTGTTCGAATGTTTTGTTGTGGACATACAATTTCTCTCGGTCTCAGACAGAATGGTCAGTGTTTAGAACGCTGTGAACGCGATGTTCAGAATAATGCAGCAGTATTTTGCTCCTGTGAAGAACAATAATTTTGAAAGCAAGTAATATATCTTTAACAACTGTCAATGTCGGGCTTCCTGTGTGTAATGCAATCTGGTTTGTTTGAAGTTATGATACACAGTTCGCGCGTAAACAAAAAGAAAGTGCTTTAAATTCTGTGGGATATCTGGTTTGATTCTAATACAATTGATCTTCTGAAGGTTCTAATTGACTATTTGCCGCATCCTTAGCTAGGAGAAGCGCCTTCAAAACCGATAATTGTCTTGTAATGTGCTAGTTTTAGCCAGTGACAATCGGATAAGTTGAAATGTAAGTAAGGTCGGTTGAAAATATAAACTCCATTAAACAATGTTTTTTGCCTCTTGAATTTATGTAACTAGGAAATTAATGAAGGGTTAGTTAAGATGGCACGGCATTCGAAGATGTTGTGAAATCAATAATAAATGAATTGTACTTGCACAATCGTTTCATAGGAGCATCCCCTGTTTCTTTTCAGGACTTCGAGGGCATCTCCGATCAGGAACTTAGGGAGATATTCCACTCTCTGAGCGTCAATGAGCAGATCACCCTCAAGATGATTTTTGATCTGAGCACAAAAGAATGGGAACCCCGAAGGTTTACCGCTAAACTGCCTGGGCCTGAATCCATTCAGCAACTGAATCTTCCACTTTGCCGCTATGGGGTCCTCCTGCGGCACTCGGTATTTCTCGGTACTCGTCCTGGCGCTGTCGTCGTAGCTCCGCCCACGTGTCTTATTGACGGTTTGGGGGCAGGTCGTTCTATCTGTTGTTCTGCCGCGTAACGTAAGTCCTCTCTTAGTAGCAGTGGGGGAGAGCGTTGAGAAGGTACATCTCTGTGATCATTATACCTTACGGCATTTCCACTAGGGGTTGTTGCGTTACGTTGCTGGATGGTGCTGTAGTCGATGGGATGATATATGTTGTCTATCTCGTCTGTTCCGTCTTCGTATTGGCTTTCAATTCTCCATTCAAGCTCTGCCAGGAAAACCTCTTCTTCAAGTTTCCTGATTCTTATCCTCCTGTTTCTCTCCTACGTCATTCTGTCAATCTCAGCTTCTTCCTGTTCACGTGCCTTCGCGAGTTCTAGCCTTTTCTTTGCTATCAGCATAGCCTTCAGCCTTTCCTAGGAAGGTGTCGAGCGTTGCGATCTTTGGGAACCATAGCTCTCAACGGAAACATTATCATCCTGTGCCTGTCCTTGTCGGTCAGTTTGCATCCGCATCCTGCATTCCTGGATGATGTGCATCATGCTTTCTTTAAGTTCTCGGTATTTCACCTCGACAAATTCAAGGCGTTTTCTGTCCTTTATACCATTGAGGAACACGGGGTGTAAGTCTTCGAATGATTCTGAGAGAGCCGTCACTTTGTCGACATTTTCGATGGCTGATGATGGGTCCCACAGGAAGTAGGTATTGTTTTTGAGTTTGTTTGTTTCAGCTTCGATTTCGCGAGCAGCGTTCGCCCATAGGGCGGCCAATCTACGCTGCTCACTCATCTCGCGTTGTCGGTCGAACTCGTCGAGGTCTATAGCGGTGTTTTGGGGTCGGTATGAACGAAAATCGTATCCGGTAGCTCCGTGATCCTGACCAGTTGACGGTGGCTCATTAGCCTTCAGCGGTAAAACAAAATCATCAATTGGTGCAGCAAACTCAGGGAAATCGTAACCAGCATGTTGACCAAGCGTCAACCCATCGATTCTAGCATCGACATCCATCAAAACCATGTCATCGTTAGAAAATTGTCATCCACAGTCCAAATCCTGTCATTCCGATCAATCCATTCCATCACATCCACTCATGGCGTATTTACACAAATCCAGCGAATGGATTAAAGCACATATCCACGATTTTTTTACTGTGTTGGGGTTTAAAAAGGGTTTCCCTGTCCCTATCAAGGTCAAGCTTGGATCTCTTTACGTATAGACTTTATTCCACAAGAATTTCAACTCGAATTAGCCAAGCAAATCAATCTTGTCACGCTCGATCTTTCGTTCGGTAAAAACTACAATGTAAGACATAAATTACAGATTACAGACAAATTATACATGAAAAGGAGATGAATTCACAAGAATAACAACCTAGATACACGTATAAATATCCTTATCCTTCGCTTTACTTTTACCTTAAGTGCAATTTTGTCGAACCTCGAGCCTCGTGGCCTTTTTTCCTCAGGGAGCCCAGGGTCACGTGACGTGCCCAAACAAACTCTATCTACCACCCCATGAACTCCCCCAAATCCAGGGATGGGATCTTTGATGGTGGGATATGGTAAACTTGGAAAATAGACATGTATTCAATTCCAATAGGAATACGTAAAAAACTCGGTTTCTAGCAAACCAAAAACTTAACTTTAAGTCATTTTCTGTGTTTAGTCTCTATCTCGAAAATAAATTTTGCCTTAAATGAGGTATGTGTCTAAATCTGGTGGATCAATTCCAAAATACTCTGATGTAACAGATCCATACAAAATAGTACGGGCATTATGCAATAAAGAACAAGTTATATACGTTTTTCATACTGCACTCAGTCTAATTTTCAGATTCTTTTTAAAGTCCAAGAATTTGAAATATTATATTACGTCATTGAAAACCCATTCAACAGACACTCTAGCAGAATTCATAGATTTTTAAAGTCCCTTTGTTGTTGCGTTTGTATAGCTCCCCTAAAAGGTCTCTGTAAGTGAACAAGCAGAGGATAAGCTGAGTCTCCATAAACGCACAGTGGCTGTCCAGTTACTGGTGAAAAGGAAAATCTTTGGAGATCTTGAAGAAGATTTGAGGATGCAAGCATTCGACTGTCATGGCGTTTGCCTTCAACTGGTCCATACAAATTTCCGATAAGTCCATTAGGCAATGCTACAGATTGAAATTTAATGGCATGAACCTTCTTATGCTCATTGTAGACTACCCTTTGATTTGTACCTGGTCTACACAATGGGCGAACAGTACCATCAAAAGTCCCCAGCAGTTATCTAAGGCAGTTCCTGATCTGTGTATTGCTTCAGCATACCGTACTAGGTTTGCAGGCGAAAGTAAGYTATCATTGTATCGTGTAAGTAGATGATGTCATCTATCGTATATCATATCTAGCAGATGATTTGTTATGATAGAAAGTTGTGGTACTGGGCGAGCGAGTAAGGGAACCATGTCTAAATATCGGCAAGGATAAGCAAATCGTTTAAGGAACATCCATAAGGCTGGAATACATTCAACAGCTARTCCATTATATGTCAAAATTTCATTTGGTAAACGAAGAAAGTCAGCAAGTTGATATATTTTTCTCCTAGAAAAACGGAAATTGGCCCTCCATTCTTCATCTGTATCTCATCCAAGTCAAACCTGTCGTATGCCCAGTAAGTAAATCTGGGTTTTTTGGTGTATTTGCTTCATAAAGCAATAGAAATTCCTCGTCACTGAGCATTCCAATGATGTAAGACCACAAAACTAACTCTCTAACTTCTCCCAAATTCAACGTACTACAAAGTCGATAAGCGCAACATCGAGCATTTGTGCACTTTAAATTTAGCGCCGGCGCATTTTCGACTAGAACCCAGACTTCCGCAATATTATCCGTCGTCGTCGTCAAAAGGTCGTCGATTCGTAAGCTCCCTGTTGGTTTTTTAGTGACTTTCTAATTAGTAGAATTTCTAATCACAAAGGTGTTTTCTCGTTTTCAATAGTAGATTCGGTTTCTATCGAATGGTGTGGTAGGCTCATCTTAAGTTGTTCTGGATATTTGATTCCTATGGTCTTAGTTTCATTATTAATATTAGATCCAAATTTCATATCAGGGGTGGCTTTTTGTAGTTTGTTATTATATCCCACCACCGATTCTGTGTTGATTGCTAGGTGAGAAGGCATTAGCCAACATCCAGGTGATATAGCGAAGTCTAGTTTATTTTTAGACTCTTGGATTGCCATTTGATATCTTTGGATGTTTTTCAATATGTTGTTTTCTATTATACTACTTTCGAATAGTGTTAGGAATACCTGCTGAGTTGCTGCGAACCTCCACTGTCATCCAATATAGTGCTTCTAGTGTTGACTTGCGCACTAACATAAGCAGCARTAAGGGGGACTCGCGAAATCCAAATCATCAAGCATCGAATTTCACGGGTATTACCCGCGTTTCAGGCCCCTCTAAATGTATGCGTCGGCAGCGGGTATTACCCGCGCGATGATTCCCTTACTGCTGCTGTGTTTGCAAAATCTATGTATTAAGTTAAAATATTTGTGTCGCAAACGAAGGTTAAAATATTTCCTAGATATAGATGGACAACATCGCGCACATTCAAAACAAAACTGTACGCAAGCTGCGAACCCAGGTATTGGATCGTTTGGACGCCGACTTTGCCTTCACGACATTCACAGAAGGAGACACAGAAGAAATCATGGA